CTGAAGCGTCGACCATTTCTGGCCGGCAACTTTCAGCGTCATTAAGCCGCTGCGCCACCGTGTCCCCTTTTACTCCTTTACTTATTGGCATTTCTTTGGTTTTATATCTTTGAGCATTGCATCTGACTTTCATTCTTGTATCTTTATACATTCTAGCTATTAGAATGTATAAAGATACAAGAATGTATAAATAGACATTTATTAATTGTGGTATCTTTAAGGTTGTGCCACAGTTTAATCCTGAAAATCAAGATAAATGCAGCCTTAAAATCAATGAAAGCCACAAATGCAGATGCTGGAGCACTATAGCATGGTCTAGTGTAGCTCTCCCTTCCCTGAACTCTGCCTGTTCATCAATCAGAATAGATTCAGGTTGAGGCCTGTCTGCAGAACTTGATCTGCAGGTACATTTTACAAATCATATTAGATTTGGTGGAGGGGGGGAGTTGAGATGGCAATATGGAAGTGCCCTTTTACAGATACTCCCCAGCATATTTTATAAACTATCTTTTTAGTTAGCTTTCACTTTTATTTTGATTTGTTTTGTTTTATGTTGCTTTCTGCTCTGTTTATCAGACTTGGAATTTTAATTAGATTTGGATTGTTTTATTTTATGATCATCTGGGTTCTGCCTGAACTCTCTACTCCCTTACACAAGGAAAGCCATTAGAAAGAGAGTGAGTTCTGGTGTACAAACATTGCATAAACTATTCAAACAACAAAAATTAAAAGACCTCATAGGAACTAAGAAGAAGGAACATTTAAGTAAAATTAAAAGAACACACCCTGGGCATCAGCCAAATGCATGCAAGGCACAGGAGTGGGTTTCACAATCTGTTGTTCAGATATTATTTTGAGTGGAACTTCTTGGGTACAAAAAGACCAAAACAATGTTTAATACATGGTTTTGGCTGTCACCTCTTTCTGTTTTCAGATAACAACTCTGATTAACCATAAGGATAAACCAAAGAGGTCGGATAAGACTTTGAGAGCAGTCCAACAGGTGGGCCAAGCAGTTAACCTAGCTGTTGGAAAATTTGTCATGGTGGGTGAAGCTATAGCCAATGAAAACCAAGAGCTGAAAGAGGAAATGAAGGTTGCCTGCACTGAAGCAAAGCAAGCAGGTAGGTGAATGTTTATGAACCTGAGAGGCAGGGCATCATTTGTTGTGAAAATACCTGCCTGCCTTGTATTCTGTCAGATTTGGTAAAGCCTTCTCATCTTGATTTTATCTGCAATGGAGACCTGCATTTTAAATCTCTTAAATTATTAGAGAAATACCACAGGAGATTATTTTAGATAGGATGTCTCTAGTTTTGCTGAAATTGTATTAACTCCTGCTGCTGATCTGTGGCATTCAGTAGGGAAGCATTAGCACAAAGAAACTGTGGGATAGTCACGCTTCTCAAAAATGTCTGCTGTGATTTAAAACAGTAACTCTATGATTCTGTTGGCTTTTTGGAGCATGAAGTGCAGTTCCTAATTTCTCAGAATGTTGAGTGATGTCAGATGAGCAGTACACCATTCTAGGTGCTGGGTCACTTCAAGTGGGTAGGACCAAATTCTTTTTGATGAGTATTCTGCGATTACAGCAGCCTCCTTCTCCAAAATATGAAAGTTTACAGGGGAGGAACTGGTTGATAGGGCTGTAAAAAAGATACACCATTCTTCTCCACATTTTGTAAGCATAAGAATGACTGAGCAGTCATATATTAAAGAGATCTGTATGTCTGTATGTCCGACCCAGTAAATTGTCATACTACATGATGCTGTAACATTAATGGGTTTCCTTGGTTCCAAAATCATGGTCAATGAGGAAGATTATGAAAACTCATAATGCAGTGACATTACATCATGTGTGTTCGATTATTAGTTATTATGGTCAGAGAATAGCTAGGGATCTAATCTCCAGAAAATCTAGTTTCAGCCTCAAAGGTGGTGAGCAAAGGGCTTCCTGTAAGGGAAGCAAGCACTGTGAGAATACATTTATATAGATGCTTTATTTGTTAAACTTGTTTTTTGTTGTTATTAGTCACACTGGACTAAAGGAAGGAAAGGCAGGGTATAAATGTTTTAAAATAAAAATGAACAACCTCACTTCCTACTGGATCAGACCACTAGCTCATTAAGTCCAGCAGTCTCTTCTCACTGTGGCCAACTAACTGCACAAGGAAGCCCATTAGTCTCCCAGCTGATGGCCTTCAGAGGCAGTTACACTGCCATCAAAGCTAATAGCTATTGATCCCCATGATTTCCCTGAATTGGTCCAACCCTTTTTTGAAGCCAGCCAAGCTGGTAGCCGGCACCACATCTTGTATCCAGTGCCACCATGTCATGGTAAAGATAATGCCCGGAATTTAAAATTCTCTTACTGCACCACTGATCTTGGTAAGTGCCTATATCCCTTTTGAAAATCTGGTTTTCACCAATTGATTTAAGATAGCATCCAATTGGAACAGGGCTGAACTAACTGCTTTTCACTTGTAGGTGAGACCATTGCACAGCTTACAGATGTTGCAACCTTGGATCGTCCAGAATCTGATGGCCAGATAACAGTTTTTACAGACAAAACAGGAGTGGTAAAGGCTGCAAGGCTCTTGCTTTCTTCAGTTACTAAAGTGTTGGTTCTGGCTGACATAATAGTTATTAAACAAATTATAACTTCTAGAAACAAGGTAATTATGATTTTGTGAACACTGACTGTACATTTTGCATACAGTTTTATACTGTATTTGATGAAAATGATAGTTTAATATTTTTAACTGGCGTTGAGTGCAGTCCAAGGTCATTAAGAATACACACACACACACACACACACATTTATTATTTTAGTAGGAAAGCTAAGTGCTAAACTTTGGCCAGATAATACATAATAGATATGTGTAGCCATTATAGGAGCAATAAATAAGCCTTTCATCCAATAGTGCATAGAGATGAACTGCATTGTATGTAGTAAGAATACATAAATAATCTTAACTGAATGGCCAAGTAAGGTAGAATATGTGGTTGCATCTTGAAACAGAAAACAACAACTAATTTTGGAGGAATTCTAAATTTGTTTTGTCAGTGATACATTTATTATTAATAGCTTCGTTCAACATATTTGGCAGGTCCTTATGACAATGGAACAGCTAGAGAAAGTAAGTAGTTTTCAAGAGTTTGTCCAAATATTCAGTCAATTTGGAAATGAAATGGTGGAATTTGCCCATTTAACTGGAGATCGACAAAATGTAAGTACTAGATAAAATTCTGTCTGTTCAATGCTTTGTAGAAAACATTAGCAAACATTGCCTTATTCCCAGTTCTGCCTTCCTATAAAAAAAAAAAGTCACCTGGTTAAAAACTTACAATTGCTGTTTAGTATCTTTTTGTGTGTATCCCACCTGCAATTTATCAGGTATTGTAAGACATAAAAGTGCCTCTGAACAGTAAGATCCCATCTGAGCTGTCACGGTTAATAACCAGGAAAGACAGGATATGACTGACTGTAGTAATAATAGGGACTTTTGGTCTCAGCATCTGTCCTAATTGAGCCACAGCAGCGTTTGCTCCCAACTGGGGAACTATTGGCAGTCTTGGATGAACCCAACATTTGCAAAAGTACAAAAAATAAAAAAATAAAGTGGAAATACATTGGGAAACTGCCATCATTCAACAAAAAACAAAACCCCCACAACAGCCTGAATATGGAATGCTGACTGACCATTGGAGGGAAAATGTTCATAAATGGATTGCCAGATCAACAGAAGTTCTTTCTCAGCATGTAGACCATGGTGGGAAGTCTGCAAGCAGCTTCCCACTTGAGCACCTAACATTGCACTGCCAGAATTTACCAGCAAACTATTGAAGAAGAACACCATGATTTTCTGGCAAAATGAGATGTTTCTGACAGGCTTAAGACACCAATGTTATTTAAACAAAGAGAAAGTCCCTCACCCAGTCCCAAAAAGATAAAATGGGTGTATTTGCAAAAGTTCCAGATCCTTTGGACATGTCATCACATCATTTTCATGCTCTCTGTTGCTATCTGCCCTGAAAAAAAGTGGTAGAAAAGTATGGTTACCAAAAGGCTGCCTGCTCCTGATCTAGACTAGCAAACAATTCCTTTAATTATTTTGTCTATTGAAACCAAGTCTTACATCTAAATTATTAAACCTTTTGGATTCCTTCTCAGTAATTTCTGCATTATAAAAGGAAATGTTTGTGTTAATAGCTGTTGAAGGTTTTATTTTGATAAGTCAGAGATGTGAAACATGTCTCTTTTACTGACTAAAGCTATTTCAGCTGTCATTCCCTCTCCACATGGAATTTTAAGAATTAGCAGAATTAACATCATCAGGGTGAGAGGTGAACTATAATAAGCAGTGATATTAGTTACTGAAAGCAAAATAATAATGCATATATGCCCATAGTAATCAAAACCTATGCATGTTTAGTTATGGTTTCAGAGGGTGTTACCACTGAAATCACATTAATCTAATATTTCAGAGGTGACAGAAAAGCTGCCCAAATGTTTTTCCATATCCCATTATCAATAGCAAAAGGTGTCTGTCTTTTTTAATAATTAAAAGATATGACATGCTTTTGTTTATCAGCAGATGTTCAGCATCTCCCTTTGCCAAGAATTATTAATTGTTATCCATCAGGAGAGTTTTGCTTTTCTTTCCTTAGGATCTGAAAGATGAAAAGAAGAAAGCTAAAATGGCAGCTTCTAGGTCTATTCTCGAGAAATGTACCATGATGCTTCTCACTGCTTCCAAGGTAACTCATTTTCTTGGTTGATTATCAGCAAAGCAAAAGACTTGAGAGCTGCTCTCAGGAACACATGGGACAGCATTGACTAAAGCCACATCAGTCAACATGTAGGGAGACTTGGAAGGCTTTCCGAAGGACACCGGAAGAAATATTGACAAATGCAGTGGCTGACTCACTGATGGAACTGATAAGCAGCCTTGGTTGATTTGCCTGAGGCAGGGAGGAGCACACGGGGATTCATCTTGGTAGATAGCACAGAAGCAGCCAGATAATGTTGATGTATTTTTATTTACTTGCTTGTTTACTGCCTTCTTTGCTCAAATTATTGATTTTCAAGACCTGTTTAAGGCATCCTGACTGTGAATCTGCCCGTGTTAACAAAGGAGCAGTGTTCCACAGAATGAGACTCGCTTTGGAGCAGGTTATAGAGATTGTAGCAGACACTCGGCCCAATGGAGAGAATGAACCGGGCCCAATGAGCATCTATACTGGCATCAAGGAATTCAAGGTGAGGACAGATCTGTCTTTTTTGGCGACTTATTTCTAGATGAATGCACCTACATATGAGTGAATTATCTACATGCAAGGGGGGAAACCATTTCTGTGATTTTGATTAGAACTTTCCAGTGATTTTCAAATACTTCAGTATGTTCCTGACTTTTCAATGCACTTTGTTCATAATTTGTCCTATGTTAGGGATTTTGTCAACTAAAAACTGCAAGTACGTGTGTGGTTGAAATATGACAATTCCTAGAGGAGAATGTGTCTGTTCCTTGGCAGATGAGGTTCAGTCAGAAGATAGATACCATTGGATACAACTCAGCCCACTGGACTAGATAGTTAACCTAACTTGCTGAAGCAGAAATATACTGTAACTCCAACCCAATATCCTGGTAACTTCTAATTTGTCTTAAAAATGGCAACTATATAATAGGTATTACTGTGCCAGCCATCTGGCTGGCTTTTCTATAATATAATTTTCTTAATGTTATATCTCATGGGAGTAGTATGGATTATTTCTCCTGCAATTTTGCCTGTTTCGACCCAACCTTTGAGGGGAGGCAGGTGTGTGAAAGCTTGACAGATCACCTGAGAAGCTGCTTCGCACAAATATCATCTGGTACAATTCCCTAATCATATCAGCTGTTTTACATAGATGGTTGTATAGGTTATTGCATGTGTGAATTGATATTATCTCATTGAAGTCTGCCATCCTTTCAGTAAGAAATGTGTATTCTCAGAAGAAAGCGGCGGGATGTGTGTGTTGTCCCATCCATGTGTATGACATGGGTCATATTTATACATTTTTAAAGATGTACGTTTTCCTACTGCTGTTCTGATTGTAAACTGTAGTTGAAGTAAAGTAACCGTGTACGTGTGTTTTGAGGCTAGGAAATTTGATGCCTTCTGGATGTTTTGAACTCCAACTCCTGACACCCCTAACCAGCATGCCAACAACAAAGGATTGTGAGAATTGGTCCAAAACATTGACAGGGCACCAGATTGACTGCCCCTCATGTATGTGAAGTTCAGTTGTGGACATGTGCAGTCAGCATGAAGACGCTGGGGTGCCATCTTTAACTCCATTAACAAAAGATTTTAAGCACTAGCTTATAGGATGGCATACAGAGTATTAATAACGTTAGCCCTAAAAATGTTAAAAGAATATTGAGTGAATTTACCATATTGCAGGTGGGAAGCTGAGAATGTATGGCTTGCTTTAGGTCATGTGATAGAAGGGAGCTTTGAAATGGGAATTGATTCCCAACTCTTTCTCTTGACTGGCATGCTATAATTGCACTGATATTTCAGTCTTTTCTGCTTTTTTAGTATATCATGTCTCCCCTTCCCTTTTTTTCAGAATAAGGTGGAAGGTCTGCGAGAAAACCTTTATCTTCTATCAAAGGAGAACCTTAGAGCATTGCTGCGTCTTGTCCTAGAACTCACAGAAGATTTTACAGATTCTGCTTATACAAACCATGAAACCCGAGGACACATCTTGGAGCTCTCCAAGCAAGCAAAGATGGAGTTGGAGCAGTTGGTGTCAGCCTGGATCAATGCTGTAAGAGAGACCTTTTTCCCAGCAAAACTGATGGTTTGAGGAGTAATACTAAATCAGTTTATACACTTTATATGATAACATGTGTCATCACAGTATTGCAAATTCTATGGGATCATCATCCTTGCCATTTAGAACAGAGTTTTATAAATATTTACATAAATCAAAACAAAAACCCAGTATAATTCCTTCTATCAATATAAATAATAATATAAATATTATAAATAAATAAATTCTCCCATCATTACTGGTCAGATTCAGAAAGAGATATACATAATACATATTTGTCCTCTGGTATACTAGTTTTGTTTACTGAAGTGGTTTATCCTACATAGTGATTTCTATAGAGAGTGGGACTATAGCATCCATGTTCTCAGTTAATATGGGCAACATGAAAATGTTAAACCCAATACATGTGGAGGACACCACAAGACTTCTAAAGATTTATTTTTTTTCAAAATGTGGGGAAGAAATTGAAATTATGTGTAACTGAAATACAGGTAGTCCTCAGGTTATGAAGGCCATTGGGACAGGAATTATGGTCGCTAAGCAACGTGGTTGTAAAGTGCAATGTCATGTGACTCTGTCACTTAGCAACAGCAGTTCTGGCTGTCCCAGTTGCCACTGTTAAGCGAGGACTGTGCTGGTTGTTAAGTGAGGACCTCATGTGACTGCAACTTCCAACTTCCTGCCAGCTTCTCTATTGACTTTGCCTGTGGGAAACCAGCAGGAACATCGGAAATTGCAATTACACAACCGTGGCTTGCTGCAATGTCATAACTGTGAGCTGGGTGCCAAGCACCTGGATCACAATCATGTGACCGTAGGGATGCTGCGACGGTCAGAACTCCAAGGTCTGGTCATAAGTACCACTTGTTCAGCACCATTGTAAGTTTGAATGGTCACTGAACAATTGGTCGTAACCCAAGGACCACCTGTATATGCAATACTTAACCAATCTAAATATATTTTATTGGTTTTAAAACATACCATGTATTAGAGCAGTATATATTTCTGTATGCAAACCTGTAAAGCCATTGTTTACAAATTATATGTATTAGAGCAGTATATATTTCTGTATGCAAATCTGTAAAGCCATTGTTTACAAATTACAGTGGTTATGTTCACATGTCGCCTAAGCTAAAGTATGGTTGCTTGGTTTTGGGTTAGTATGATGTATGAACCCAGCGATTGTGCTTTGGACAGCAGTGTAAGCAAACATTGGATTAATGTGATGTACTAATCCAGCTAAACTTTCCAGCAACAGGTTTGTCATATCAACCATACACTTCAAGACTCTAACTAATTTTGGTAAAAAGGAACAAAATGGATTGTTGTCGTTAATTCTGTCATATGGAACTTACTGAGTTCACATATTGCACTAACCCATAATCTGATTCGATTTTAGCTTAGCACATTGTGTGAACCAGTCAGTTGTTTCTTATTCAACAAACTATGATTAATGGCTCAGCATGATATATGAACCAATATAGAATTCTTGCACCTCTGTCCTAGGCACATCCATTGAAAGCCAAATTCCAGGGTTTGATGAGCCTTACTTCCAGATAAAATTACCATTGGATTGAAATTTACAAACCATGTTTGGCTTTTTTAATTTTAAGATTTTAATTAAAAGACCAAATAGCCTAAAGTCAGACATTTGTGGAATTGGAAATTGTTTTTCTTTAGCAAAATCAGAAGAAAAGAGAAGTCACAGAGGACTTGGAATTATCCATACTAAAAATGTGCCAGTGCATGAATGAGCTTCAAAGAGAGGTAAGTTGGAACCCAGTACAATCTGGAATATGTTTTGGAATTATAATATGTATAACTTCTTCAAAATGAATTATTATATTCTCAGCAGAGATATAATAATATAATAGTGTTTCCAACTGTCTGTATTTACCATTTAACCAGCAGGTTGTTTTAAGTAGAAGCCTGCAGGCATAACTTTTCATGCAAGAATACAAATTGTTCGAGATTGTTTCAGAATCTAGCTTAGCATGGTTTTTATTCACAATGAGTCTCTTATGCTTTTATTAATTCAGTTTATGGTCTAGCACAGAGGTGGGTAACCTGTCACTCTTTCATGTGGCCCTCTGAGTCCCCTTTGGCCTTGATTCCTGCAAACTGATAACATAGTTTCCTGCCTGGGGTGGGGGCAGCAGAGGAAATCCTAAAACAGGGATATTACAATTCAGAAACAAAGAAAACCTCCCGAATTTTACCCTCAAAATTCCTTTCATTCACAGATATGATATAACCCGCAGCTACACCTCTTCCCATGTTAAACACAGCCCTTGATCACCAAATAATTGCCCACCCTTGACCCAGGAAGTATTTGGGGAGCTTCTGATGGAAGCAATGTGCCTAGAAGAGCACAGGCCCCTGGAGGGAGCTTTCCTGAAAGCCCTATGCAAGCCAGTTTAATCAAAGAGAGCAAGGTGTGCGTGAAATCTTAAGTTTAGAGATCGATATTACCATTAATGCTTTTTATTTTTTGTTTTGTTTTTATTTTATTTTTTTCTATTATAAGGAATTCCACCACCACTACCCCCCCCCCAAAACCCCTACATTATACCAGAACAGGTTCTTTGTTTGTCTAACTGGAATTGCAGGGCCAAGGAATTTGTGGCCCTCCAATTGTGGCCAGACTGCAGTTTCAGCAGCTCCAGTCAGCATGACCCATGCTGAAGCATATTGAAACTTGTACTTCAGCTGCCTCTGAATGCCACAACAAGGTCTCCATCTATCAGGGATTTGAGCAGAGAGAGATCTTTCTAACTGGAGACATCTGAGGGTGTGGGTGTCAAGTGATGAAAGCAGGGTTGCAATGGAAGCTCTGTCCCTTTTGTATATAAGTCACATTTTGACAAAAGCATTGAATCCTGCAGATACCTTTGTTCCCAGCAAGTGTTCGTTTTTGCTGAAGATGCTATGAACCTAATAATCTCTATGCATGCAAAGTGTGTACTCTTCTACTGAGCGACGGTCTCTCCCCAAGCTGAACATGAATGGGCATGTCTAAGAAAAGAACAAAAAACAGAGAAGCAATTTTGCCTTACTGTCCTTAGAGTACAACTATTGCATTAACCACCATTGCTCTTTTAGAATTGGAGGGAATTCTAAGGCTGATGGTTAGATACCCACGGAAATCCTCTGAATTTGTGACTAAGCCTCATATAAGTTTAATTCTCTGTCCCTGAGTGTTATATGTCACCTGTAGATTGTTTAGCATACTCTTGATTTTATTCTAGATCACTCAGTTCCCTCCTGGAGGAAGAACGAGGATAAAATGGGGGCTATCCCTTCTTAATCCTCTTCCTTCTTCTGGCAGATTGATGGTAGCAGCAAAGAACAATGCAAGAATTATGAACGATAATGTGAACACACTATGCTGGAGAAGAACACTACAATTATATGCCAAAGTAATCTAAATTCTGCATTAAGAATATTTTAATTAATTATGAGAACTACTGTATATCAATGAATTCTTATTCTGCCTACATTTTCTGTTTTTGCTAAAAGATGTGCAATGCACAGAAAGCCTACTCCTAACAGAAATTTTATTCTTCCTTTCTTCAATGCAGGCCTTTGAGTTTTTTGTAGTGTCACCCACTCTTTCATATATGTCTTTGCAACCATGAGGGTTAGACACTTGTTATGTTGTTTAAATTAATACTGTTATTCTCAAGCTGTTTTCAGGTCTGTGTCCAAGACCTCTGACTATCAGATAATGTAATCATTTGTTGATATATAGGACTAACAGGTCTAATAGGATGCCAGCATTCAGAAGGGAAGTGATAAATAGTTTAGAAAGCTCAAACTGGAAATAGACTTTGTTCCATAAACCCTACATCAGTTCATATTTTTTCTACCTGAATTGCAAACCACTTGATATCTACCACATCTGTACAAGTTTTTAATATGTCTAGCCCTATTGAAGTTTTTGGTTATCATTTAATGCAGTTTGTGAACTAAGCAGAGTTAATTCAGCTCTTGGTAAGCATCTTTATTCTCTTCTATCTCTAAATGCCATCAGTGAGTTTTGATACTATTTATTCCTCATTATTCATTGTTCTTTTTCAGATTCATTATATTGACCCAGCCTAGAACAGAAAAGTTAGTTGCTCACAAAAATGTTCAATAGCTACACCAAATTCCAAAAGAAAAACATCAGTAGCTTTTGTGTAAAAGTTCTAATTGCCTGGAGTTAACTACTGTTTGCTACAAGTTACCCATTGTAGTAACTACTGCTTTGTGTTAATTTTTCCAATATCAAAGCTCCACGGTGCAGCAATATCTGTTGCAGCAGACCTGATAAAGTATCATTCAGATCACCTTGTTTTGAAAGCGCTGAAAGCCTGTGGAGCAGAAGGAAACATAGAAGCTATTGCAGAGTATAGTTATAAGCTCTCTGAACAGAAAGACCAATTGATCGAAGTAAGTTTGGGTTATGTTGAGAAAGACAACCTAAATTCTGCTTATATGGGGATATACCTTTGAAATTATTTTTTTTCTCCTTTGTAATTGCTTGCTACCATAGAGATTTCTGTAGTTGACTGGATATTTGAGTTGCAGACCATGCCTGCCCTTTGGACAGGGATATCTTTGGCATGGTCATATATGTGCCCCCAGCCTACAATCCCTCCAAAAAATGTAGCTGAATTGCAGTGTTAATGTATCAGGCATTACTACTGGCATGGGAATAATCAGATTAACTGTATTTAATTTACATTTAATTTTTGTCCTGGCCCAGCCCACTTCTTTGTCCTTATCCCAGTCATTCTTTGGAATATGACCCTGCCCCCATCATACCATTCAAAGACCAACTGCAGCCTCTCTCTTTGCCCCAGGGGAATAAAAGGGAAAGTCTCCAACTCTGGCAAAAGAATGTATTCACAGAATTGGGGTGCTGTGTTAATGCTCCCGCTTCATTCTTCAGAATATCCTTTTGGTGAAAGTTGTTTGGAGCCTTAGGGGTATCTGTTCTTAGAACCAACAGACTGTGGTTGATCTCTAAAACCCAAGTGGTTGTTTGATCAATCCTGACATATTTTTAATACCATTGATTCAAAACGAGTATAGTAAGCATGCTCATGGAGCAAAATAATAATAATAATAGTAGTAGTAGTAGTAATAATAATAATGACAAAAAAGTCTGGATAGTGGACATTGCAATACCTGGAGACAACAGGATAGAAGAGAAAGAACTGTAGAAAATCACAAAATACAAAGACTTGCAAATAGAAGTAGAACAACTATGGCAAAAGAAAGC